CAACCTTCTCCTCTCTCTAGCAGTTGAACCCAAAAATCTCATAGAAGATATTAGTGTTCATCATCTTTTCATTTTTAAGCCTATCGTGGCAAGATATCTCATCTCAGCATAAGCCTATGTTATCATTAAAAACTCAGACTGATCTCCAAATAAACCACAGCATCATAACCAATATTTCTTTTAAAATATATGTGTCTAACTGAAAAATGAACCGACTCCTCTGAAATGATCTTCTAATGTTAAAAAGAAACCTTAGCTGTGTTTTACAGGCAGCTAGGTGTTCCATGGCAATTTGTAGCTCTCCACATCTGTAATTTAAACATACTCAGGGCAGAGGTAATCTTGACAATAAAATCTAAGGCCAGATATTCTATCAGCATATCTGCATGCAGTTATGCCAGCAAATAATTTAAATACTAGTACCTAAAAATGAAGTTATCAAAAAACTAATCAAATAGACAGATGGAAAAAAAATAGAATGTGAGTTATTATGTATTACTCTAATAAATAATACTCCTCATCTTTCTTTTTTTTTATTAACCAACAAATGGAACAACTCGGTGTTTAATATCACTGAAGGGCTTTGGTGTATTTTCAAATAAAGTTTTTCTGAATCTCCATACTCCTTTTTTCCCCACTGAAAAAAACCAGCCAAAATTTATCATTTGATGTAAAACAAGCTTCAGCTTCAACTCTGATACAGGACAGCAGAAAATTGCTATATATATAATTCTGCAAAATTGACAGGCTCTGCTCTGAAGAACCTTGAGCTTGAGACAAGATGGAAAGTGAAAGGTGTCCCCTGGAGATGGCTGTCCCTCCAAGTTAGTCTTCAAATTGCTAGCAAAGGAAGATAGGAAACTCCGGTTTTCTTTCTGATTAGCCACTACTATTCCATATGATCTGTAAAACCATGCTCAACTTTGTCTCTCCCAAGGAAAAAAAAAATCATTTCTCAATGGAAATCTGATTAGAGAAAACTAAAAAAAAAAAACCCTTTAGAACTTTAGAAAAAAAACCCTCTCTGCTAATAGATTATTCTTTTCAAAATTCAAGACAAAAATTAAGACAGGAACTGATTTCAAGGAATACCAGACCTAATGAATGATCATCTTAAAGTATTCTTTAAAAGCTATATTTTGACATATACTTTCAATGAAAAGTACCTTGCTCTTTCCATAATTTCATTGATTTTCATTACTTTAATGTTGGAATGAGGGACTAAGCTCTAGACCTTTATATATATGTTTTCTTAACACCTCATTTCCAGAATTCTCATTTCTAGTTTATACTCCATGTGACTTCTGGTGATTAGTTGTAATACATGTCCCTATAAGTTTACACCACAGAATATGTTTAGATTTATATTATAGTGTAAATGTGCACAATATAATGGGTGGAAAAGCCTTTCTAACCTTAAAGAGCTGTGTGTGAGAACCTGAGCAGTTCTCTTGATGTTTTGAATATTTTTGACATGTAATTGCCAACATCTGTTCAGGATTATCACCGATAGGATCTACCATGCATGGTTTTTGCTATCTTCTCTACCTTGTCATGCAGGTTGGAGATGTTAAACACTGAGGCTGAATGAGACCTGTCCATAGATAATGCTTGACAAAAAAGTATTGTCATATGGTTAGTCCTCAGTGGACTCATCTCTGCATATATTACTTAATAGTAAATAATATTTATTATTTTAAGAAACAGTAATAGATTAAATAAAAAGCTATCAAAAAAAAAAAAGCTTCTTTCACTACCAGATCTGTAGTAAAACACTGATTTCTTTTTTTGGGGGAGAAATCATATCCTTGAAAATGTGAGTTGATGAAACGCTGAACCTACCAAAATGAATGATGAAACAGTTTCTGATCTCTCCAGCGTCCGAAATTTAAACAGTGTTTCTATCACATGCAAATGCATAAACACCATGACAAATTAGGCTATCTATGCCTGCAGTCTTGAAACCTCAGCTCATAGCACAGATTTAGATTCCTCTATCAATGCGCTTTTAAACAAATACACATTTTGAGGTCATTAACCTTCCATTTTTAAAAATCAATATCCGAAGACTTTAAAAGAGTTTCATTGCCATTTTCGTATGGTTCATGAATGAGTACTTTATGTATGTGATTCGCGAACCACTACATACTACCTTTCTTACAGCAGCACTCGTCTTAGTGAGGTCTGTAATTTTGGAGGCACTCTAATTCCTTCTGCCCACAAAAACAGTACTGGAAAAATACATGAAAAATATATTCTATTGACAGGTCACATTCCCTACATTCCTCCATTTCCTGATCAGTATCTATGGTTAAGTCATTTGTAATTACTGTGTTTACTACTGGAAATGGCATGTAGGCTTTAACTGCAGCCGGAGTGTTTAACCTGATTTTCACCTGAAATGACTGAGATTGTTTTCAGCGCCCGCAGTACTCTGAACGTTCGTAAGGCTGAGACATTGCCCAGGTCCACAAATTCAGTTATGTATCTGTAACAAGGGAAAGTCACACACAGACAATGACAAAACACCAGCAAAAAAACAACAGTCAAAGGGACAAAGAGAGACAGAGAAAGAATCACTTGTAGCTGAGAGCCAAAACATAAGGATCAGGGCTTCTTACCTGGGATTACTGAAATAGTTTTTAAAGCTCTCAATACCCTGAAAGTCCGAAGAGGTGAAACACTGCCTACATTCACAAATTCTCCTACATACCTGTAGAATTAAGTCACAGTTATTTGGCATTATACAATAGAGTATGAGACCTGTCTGAATGAAGAATGCATTCATACATAGCAGGAGCAAATGCAGCCGAATGAGAGGTGCATCCACTTTTCAGGCTGTTCTTTGATGCCATTTGTCCCGGGTTTTTCACAGTGCACATCATTTCAAATGTTTCTTGAACTATTAAACTTATCTAATAGGCATCAATTCTTTAAAACTACTGGGTGAACTTTGTTATTGTTCTGTTCAGCAATAAATACTTTAAAGATTTTACCATCATGTAGTTTAACAGAAAATTCTTTACATTATAGGAAACATTAAGAGTTATTTTGCTGCTCTGAAAAAAAATAAAAGCTTCAAATATCCAAGTACTTTTCACATAACAGCTTCTGCAAACTACATATAGAACAACATTGGAAAATCTCAGTACAAATGTTTCTACTGGGTTATTTATTCTAAGATGCTGCACTCTGTAGTAAAGCTGATGTTGGTTTCAAGAGATGCTTAAAATTTCATTTTGTTTTGTACACCAAATCAATGCCCTTTGGCTGCAGGAAAATGGATTTTGAATGAAACATAATTGCAATTATACTAAAAACTATTTATGTTTAAAATACCAATCCCAGCTCTTCATTGCCATGCCTATTTTGGTCATCATGGAGATCCATGCCATATCTGAGCTAAACGCTCCCAGGAGGGTCAGTTATGGAATGAGTTTGGTTTTATCAGTGTTGTACAAAATTATTTCCTCCAAATCAGTATACAGTAAAAGCATAGTCGCCGCTGTATCTTCTGAACAAAAGAGCTCTTGGACCCTTTAATCTCACTATTAAATTTCTATTAAATTTCATTTACATATTCTACTTATTTGAGGCATTTGTTTTTCCACTTTAAGGAAAAAAAACTCACCTGTTTATTTTACAAAGCCTGCTTAAGGGGGCTTTGTGCAAAGGCCTCTGGGGAGGACAAAGCATCCTCTCCATATCTACTAATCCAGATTATAAACTGAAAAAGCAATATTGCTTCTCCTCTTCATAATCTCATAGGGGATCCTGGGCAAAGATTTACCTTTTTTGTAATTCCTACCCAGGTTTACCCAGTGCTTCTCTCCCAAAATCTTCTGCAGCAGGTGAGGGTGGAAAAAAATAATTTGAGGAGAAGCAATAGCACGGGAATATGGTTTTCCTGACCAGAGATTCATAAAAACACATTATTAATATGTGAACAAGTATATGAAGCCAATACTACTGCTGCTTGTTCACAACAGTTAATTAAGATTTATTTTGGCTGTTTCTTGGATGGAATTGCAGCAGACCAGTTTCTCTGTATCAGGGAGTGCGAAGCAATTAGAATTCCCATCCCAAATTTTCTTGTTAGCTAGGGAATTTCTTGTTGTCTTTAAGCTTTTGGCAGGGCACTTTCCAACCCAGAGCTACAGCTACCTCTCTCTCTTGCCTCTTCTGCAAAGTACTAGATTGTCTG